CCGTGAAAGATGCAAAAGAGATCAGGAAATGACATCTGCGACAAACTTGGTGGTTCTCAGGACGTTGAAGACGATACGAACATCCACGAAATATTAGCTCACCGTGCTCGATCATCTGGTTTAGAAGATGAGGTAACGATGACCATATCAGTCGCAGCAAGTCACGCGTTTTGTTAAAATCCAAAAACCGTAGACTTACGCTTGGATCCGTTCGGAATACTTTTCCTATCTCTTCCAAGAGCTTGTGGTAGCTTCCTGAGTTGAAGTCAGCAGTGAGCATTTGTTTACGGGTGCCAACAATGTCTTGACCAGAATGGGTACGCTTGAGGAAACACAGGATGGTTACTTCTCCTTTTACTAGGGGCTTGGGGTCTCTTTATGTAATTATCGATCTGGTTTTTCTTTCTCATAGGTCCACCAGCTCGTCAGAGAGTATCCAGACATGGGCTCGGAATCAGAACTCATTGAAATGTTATCCAAAGTACACCGTGTCCGCGGGGACACCGGTTCCTCGAACGTCGCTACCGTTATAGGTGGACTCCCGAGCTGAGATGACTCTTTTCCATAAGAACCGTCGAAGGAAGAACGATAGTCCAGCGCGAGCGTGCGAGTCTCGGGGAAGCGATCCTGATGGAGATGATGATGACTGCCATAGGAGGAGGTAGGCTGGTGCTCATCCAGCTCTTTCGGGTAGCATGCATGAAACAGATATCAGTTGATCAAAGGGATGCTCAAACCAATGAAGGAACTCCATCAGGATAACACTGAACTTCAGAGTGAAGCGAATGTAAGCCGTTGTTGTCGTGAAGGTGGGATACCACAATTTGTCGCTTGTCAGAGTCTCGGTCAAAGATGGAAGCTCGCTAACGCTGAGTTAGAGGAAGCGATGGGGCTCACATGTGAGCTTCGAATACCCGTCACTTCATCATTGGCCGATTGTTGTCTTCCAGATGGCCCGGGATTCAGTAAGGACAATCCCAGCAAGAACGCAGGATTGATAAGCGAATTTGGCCTCCTCGGTGGCTCCCTTCTTTCTTTGAAAGACGCTGCGGTGAGTAAACCTCGTATTTGAACTTCAAATTTTGAAGAGACTTGCATCTTTGTGTTGATAGATCGCTGCGGCTGACGAGGCTTGGGCCGAGCTGGATAAGGTCCATTATGGAATCACTGTTGATATTGATACGATGAAAGAAGAGGCAGAGAAGCGCCTTGATACGGTAGGGTTCAGGGAGGTCATGTCCTTGGAATCGTAATGGGATGTGTTATCCTCTTTGTAGTTGGTGAAGGGGATCCAATTCCAGAGTAGCATGCAAGCTGAAGCCCAGATGCAGAATATGATTAGTTTGAATAAGCTTGGCAACCAGTACATGCAGCAAGCGGTTGGCTCTATCAACAAGGGCCAGGTAGGGCTCGGCCCTTCTGTCCTGTCTTGTGCCTTGGTGTATGCAGATTCCCGTGGAGAGAGGGGTAAGGCAGACCGCAGCGGCTAGGGAAACTATGGAGAAGACTACTGAGGGCTTTTTGGAGGACTCAGAGATCTATTGGATGATCTATCTGGTAG